TTATTCTCCCAAGGGGGAAAATTCATCAAGTTGTTTGCTTCACTACTTCCTTTGTTGTCTCTTATTGACTCATGTGTTACATCTCCTAAGTTTCTTATGTCCCTTTGCTAGAGCCTTCCTCATCCCCCAGCTCTCTCATTCCTTACTCAAGAATAACATGTATGAAACTTGAACCCATGACAATTTAGTAAAAACACAACATTCAAACAAACTTTACAAATAGACACAAATATCAATTTCAATCTGTACCATGTATGAAACTTGAACCTATGACAATTTAGTAAAAACACAACATTCAAACGAACATTATAAATAGACACAAATATCAATTTTAATGTATATAATATACATCATATTGAATCGAATTTTATCATATCAGATAGGGGTGGATCAATATTGGATCCAATTATAAAAAGAACAAATTTGAAACGCCCTTTATGTGATTGAATTCAAATACAAACAAACAGATATTGTTTGCAACTAGATAATCTACAACAGCTATAGCCTCTAGGCTTTCAAAGTTTCGCAAACCCCTCCTAAAACGAAGATTCATGAGATACCAGACACCAAATGTTGGGTACAAATGGAAATAGTTTGGTTCTTGTATTAAGTAGACAAAATCTAAAACTAGAATACTAGTTTATGACATCCCTTAAGTCCTCTATGAAAGGCATTGGTAAAACTCATGCTAAATCAAAAAGGGTAAGATGGCTAGGGAGATGCTTAGTTGTTACGATCCATTTGTCCCATATTAGTAATATGGGATGCTAATGTGAGGTATCCCACATCGGTAGTATGGGATGCTGTTGTGGGATATATATGTGCTTGGGTTCCCTCCCTCTAACAGCTAGCTTTTAGGGTAGTTCTCCCAAGGCACATAACATTAGTTGGTCATGATGAAGTTTTCGTTGATTCAAGTATTGGGGTGATTGAAAGCGTAAGATGGCTAGAGAGATGCTCAGTTGGTCATTTCATTAACTCCAAACCAAATGAGGAGGATGTTCTGAGATGGGTCTGACAGAAGTGGAGATTGAAAGAATTTGTTCAAGTAAGAAAACTTAATGTAGGATTCTTTCTTTCTTTCTTGCACAACAAGGAGGAGGCAGATGAGGTCCTAGAGCGAGAATTTGTGAAAGTGAGATCTCCAGACCTTAGACAGGGAGGATGGTATCTGTTGGAGGGGACAGTCCAAGAATGGGGGTTTAGGAGTCTTCTGTGGATTAATGTCTTTGGGATCCCTCTCGGCCTCTCCACACCTGGAATTTGCAAATGCTTCACGCAGTGGAGACACTTGTGGTTGTTTCAGAAAGGTGGATGCTCGCGGCCTCGCACTAATACATCGGAGAATTTGGTAGCAGCAAAGATCTTGCTTGAAGTTGGGGAAGTTCATCTAGTACCAGCAAGCCTGGATTTAAACTTTGTAAGGGAATGGTATGATTTGAGACTGGTTGACGGTTGTATCTGGAGTTTAACAGCCAAGTAAAGATCAGAGGGGAGCTTGTGGTCTCTAGTTACCTTGAAAAGAGACGGGGCCCTTAGCAGAGGAAGAGGTAAAAGGAGAGATAGAAGGGGCAGGAACAAGCAATGGTGTTGGGTGGTCTCTAATTTTTAAAGCTCTTGTTTTCAAAAGGAAGGTTCGGTTGCTGATTTTTTGGAGCCTGTGGTCTCTAGTTACCTTGAAAAAGCTAGATGAGTCTGGCTCGCATACATCTCTGTCTCATCCTCTGGTGTCAGCTGCTTGTTCATTGAGATTGGGTTCTACTCCCACTCTCATGTCGATCCACGAGTGCAGGGCTAATGCTGAAAATTCACACTCTCGATGTAATGGGGGAGAGGGGGGGGAGATGGGATCTGGGGATGCACATGGTGCGGGAATGGAGGCAGTTAGGGAGGTGGTTGAGACGTTGAGTGTGACACCAAGGAGGAGGGAGGTGTTAAGGATTTGGGAGGCAATCTAAAAGGAGGTGAGGGTGAAATGGTGACTGGCCCCATCTCTGATTTGTTAGAGTGTGATTCTGAATTTTTGGTTTCTGAAGTTTTCGTTGGAAAGTTGGGAGTTGATTTGGGTCATAGGGGGAAGAAGACTATGCTGACCGAGAATGATGCTTCTAGGGATGGACCAAAGAAAACCAGTCTCAAAGAATTTTAACGCAGTTCATGTCACAAAGGTTTTTTCAAGGTTGAGAGAAGGTCTAATTGAGGCAGGGCTGACTAATAAATATAAGAAGATTTATAAGAAAAAAAGAGTCAAATTCAGACCTCTTAACCACAAAGATTCTACATTACAGAATGGTGTTTGAAAAGACAGTTTGGAAAACGAATTGACTGTCGGTACCTCAAGAGGAGGTCATGGAGGAAATGGTGGTTAAGAAGGGGAAGGATAGAAAGGACGGAAGTAAAGCTGGTGGCCATTACTGAGGTGCTTCCAGAGAGGAAAGAAGCAAAGAAGGGAAATGTGGACTTGAGGCAATTAGCTGATAGAGAGGTGGAGATTTGCAACTCTTTTCGAAGAATTTAAGAGAGAAGTTTGAGAAAAACTTCTGAAGAGTTAGGGAGAGAAATCAGGAATAAGGAAGGAGGGGTAGAAGAGTTTGGAGAGGTGGAGGACCGAAGAGTCTCGATTGGAGCCCCTATTAGCTGCTACTTTGGTGCTGTGCAAGATTGGCTTCTTTTTTTCTGCATGGTAAGCTGTTTAGTTTGGCTATTGATTTCGCTTTGTGTTGTGCTTTGGGGTGTTTCCTTAACACCTGTTCTGGTTGTAATCAGTTTTTTCCTTTCCTTTTTTTTGAGAAGTATGCTTTTTTTTTCCTTTCCTTTAATATAATTTTCCTTTTTATTTTTCAAAAAAAAATCTAGAAAAACGGTATGATGGATACATGGCTCTCCCATCTACATGAAATCTCTCTAGAGCTTCTGAATATGGTTCACAATGGAAGCTGGAACCTTTCAAAGCACATGCATGTAACAAGAATTGACATCAACGGAGGTGTTCTTTCACATTACCAGGAACAGGAAGGATATCCTTAAATCCAAGTTCCAACTAACCAACACTCTACTTCTGGTCATCAAAATCCAAAGTCATATTGAACTAGAAGGAGATCAAGAAGCTCCAAAAGGAAATGCAAAGAAAATAATGTCCCATTGTTAAGTCCTTAAGTTTGCTGGACTGGGAGCAGGTTATTAAGATACTCCTAGTCACAACTTAAAAAATAATAATAAAATAGAAAAAAGGGCTTTCTTATAAGCCCAGTCAGTCCTATTGGTGGGATGAAACATTTTAATAAAGAAAGGGGCCTGCAGTCTAATCTAGTGAACAACAGGCCCCAAGTTATTTGGGCTTATTTGTAATGCAATAAGTATTTAATGGGCCTACAGTAGAGCCCATTTAGTGGAACAACAGGCCCTAAAAGAATAAATCCATTTTGATTAAGTAATTGTGAGGTGTCCCACTTATTTATGAGGGGATGCCACTTGTCCTATTCTAAATGGAGGACTATTTTCCCTTTCTAACCACTTTAAGTGGGGAAACACATGTCACCCTAAGGGAGAAGGATTCATTTTCCCTCCTTTAACCACTTGAAGTGGGGGGAAACATGTCACCCTAAGGAAGAGAGAGTTATTTTCCCTCCTCTAACCACTTGAACTGGGAGGACACATGTCACCCTAAGGAAGAGAGAGTTATTTTCCCTCTTCTAACCACTTTAAGTGGGGGAACACTTGTCACCTTAGGAAGGAAGAGTTTTCTTTTCCCTCCTTAACCCATTTTAAGTGGGGTGACACTTGGCACTCTAAGAAGAGAGGAGTGGGGAGTTACTTAACCACCTCCCTCATCTATATAAACCCCTCTCCTACAAGGAGAAGGGCCTAATGCATTTTTATTGGCTATTACTAATTTATCTGCAGGATTTCTAGCACTAAAAAACAAGTGGGAAGAGAAAAGAAAAGAAGATTGGTGTGGAGAGCATAAAAGAAAAAGGAAGAAGGTAGGGAATTTTCTTCCTACACCTCTTCAATAGGATACTCCTTGTGCTTCCCACATGAGATGGAAGACCATATTCTATCTATTCCTCTCACTCCTTTCTTTCTTCCTTTTATTTTTCTTTTCTCCCTTGTTTCATATTGAAATACATGCAAGGAGACAACCATCTACAGCATTGTTCATGAAACTTGGCTGATTATGGTTCCTTACAACCTATTAACCTATGTGTGAGGGAAAAAACCATCTACAACCTTGTTCATGAAACTTGGCTGATTATGGTTCCTAACAGCATGATAATGCACACAACCACAATTTAAAGGCCATTTGTAGCTTTATTGATGAAACATGCTTTTTATGATATCTATTTACTTGTTATGCATACAATGTTTGTTTCTTTATATGCTGGTTTTCTCTCAAACAAAGAGGGAATATATAACAGAATTTTCAAAGGAAAATTTTGTAGAAAAATGATACTTAATTTAGTCTCTATTATTGGTACTTCTAAATCAGAATCAAAAGGTTTTCTCTGCCCCTAGCAGAGATGTAATTAAGGGAATATCTATGTGATTTCCCGACTGGGGCTTACCCAAATAACAAAAAACCCAGTTATTAGTCTAATTGGGTGAAATATGTTATGTGAGAAATTATACTAAAAAAATTTCCACTAACACCCATAAACATATATCAATTGTTTTAACGAGACAAAGAAAAAGAAGCCAACTAGGTCAATTGACAGTTCCAAACTAGTTTAAGAAATATTCTTAAATTCACCAATACCGATACTATTGGGGAAGGATGAATGTGAAACCATCACAAATACAACAAAAGAACCACCCAAAAGTTAGCTACAAAAGAAATTGAAATTGTTAGATAAAATGGACAAATACAATATTTAAGAAAGATTTTCCTTAACAAGAAACTATATATCCATTTAGAGCATGCATAACAGTCAACCTAAAACAATCCTAGAATACTGGAAATTGGAAACAACTAACTAATTACCTAAAACCGGTATTCTTACCTAAGCTTTCCAAGGACAATACCAGAATCATTGGATCGATATAAGCCAATATCTTCAGGGGACATAATCTCATAAGTACCTTTAAATTTAAGCATTCCATCCTACAAAAATGAAGAAAAACATATAAATCAAATTTAAGGTTATTATCTTCACTTGCACAAAACATGAAAAATAGTAAATAGGAATGGGAAAAGATGAAAAAATGTAAACAAGGGAATGCTTTTTAATCAGTTAATATGGGAATGAGTTAAAAGACCATAACTGTATTTATAATTCACGATTGTCATTATCAGAGGCAAGGTGCACATAAAAATAAAACAAACCAAAAGAAAAGGCACGGATAGAAAAAATTAGAGAAGAAATAAAACAAACAGATATGAAGAAAGAAAATGAAAATACATGCTCTATAAAGACATCGGGCACAACCATGGTTTAAAACATCTACATAAAGGCCATTACCCAATGTTGGTCTCAGCTATCTGGGATCTTCAGAGAGGTAAATTGGATATGGTCCTAACATTTGGCATTGCACAAAGTGGCCACTCGAGACTCAAACCTGCATTCCAGGCTTGCCAGCCTGAGATTTTGCCATTACATCAAGTAATGGCCCATTGGCTCCTCGATATATTCTATAATTTCTACAACATATTTCCATTTCCATAGGTACCAAAATAAAACATTTTTTCAATATATTACTAGAAATATCTCAACATATTCTTCAATGTATCCAAATCTTTTATATTGGTCTCAACAATTTTTACTTTGTTAATTATATCATTATAAGGTTTTTAATTTAATCTACATAAATATTATCCAAATAATTTGTTTTTATATGATTTTATTTTCTCTAAACCCATTATTGTTTCATGTTTACAGTTATAGATAACTTTTCCTTCATATCTTCCCATATGAAACATTCTCAATTATGCATGGTTTAATAAAATGTAGTCAATGTTTTAATATTTTAAACTCTTACAAAATGATAAACATATAATAGCATACTAGCATTAGAAGCATATCCATATGTAAATAAAACTTTTAGAGCAAGCAAAACATAATAAAATAATATTTAATACTAAAATATCATCAGGGGTACTACATAATAATCATTTAAACCCTTAAGAAGCTTTTTTGAAATGGTATAATCATTGTAAAAGAATCATTTCATCGATATATGATGGCATCATTATTTAAGAGCATGTTATCTGATTTACCTTAATATTAATGTACCTATTACCAATCCCAGCAAATGTAGCTAACAAGCTGGAAAGGAATAGAAAGACACTTCTTATGAAGAGGGTGGAAAGAAGAGAAGATTTTTTTAATGGTGAGGAGAAGATATATCACCAAGTAGACTAGGCTAAAGCTTGTAACCTTAAGGCTACTGGGGGACTTGGATACAAAAACTATGCCAGATGAATATTGCACTAAAGAAGTAAAAATGGTTCCAGTTATAGATGCAGTAAAGCAATGACTACCATTTTACCTCTCTAGTTGATGTGGTGACTGACTAGTAGAAAAAAAAAATGTTCTAAATTAAGAAATTGATGAAATCTCATAAGTAAGTTAATATAGACTAGAATTATGCAACGAAAGAATGATATTGAACATTTTATGGTCTTTGTTTTGAAAGCAAAGAAAAAGTTATGCTGGTTAGGCTAGGATTAGCAACCCTTGTTTTCCTAAGAAGAGTACAAAATCAACTATTAGATGTGCCCCTTCTCTGTGGCAACTCCATACCAAAGCACTATTGATTGGAAGAAAACTTAAAAAAAAAAAACCCTCCACTACCTTCCTTTTTATTTTATGTTTTTTTCTCTATTTTATATACCATCATCTAATCATATTTCATTTGAAATATTTAAAGCAACAATTAATATAACAAAATGCAAATATATTATTATATATTAAATCAAATAATTAGAGATACAAGCCAACAAATAAAGCTTTAAATTGACTTTGTGGTTGACTAGGTTGACTATTAGTCAACACTTAGGCATCCTAGGTGACCACATCATAAGTATCAAGTCTATTGACCAACTAGTTAATGATGCAAATCAGTCTAGCCCTCAGCTGATTAGTCAGACTAGTCAATCCTTTCATAACACTACAAACCCCCAAGGTCTGTAGAGGAAGCTGATTGCAGAGAAGTATGGCACCCAAAATTTTCATTGAGATCCAGGGATCAGCAACAGTCCCAATGATTGAAAGGCCATTACCCAATTTTGGCCCCAGCTATATGGTGTCATGGAGGGGTGGACTGGAAACAGACATTCCAAATGGACAATACCCAACATTTTACACAGGGTGCAAAACTGAATTTAGGAAATATCACAATGACAAATCCTAGAACGACCCCCGGTATAATATAGGGGCTCTGAGAACGCCCTTTTTTATCAGTAAAACAGAAAAGGAAACCATTAATATTAAAAAAAAAGAGCCCTTTTTTCGAGACTGTGTGACGGAGGAAGAAAGTAGTTCAGAATCAGATCTTGAAGGCTCCTCATGTTTTGGAAGTGTGGAACTTAAATAAACCAAATCACTCAGTGTTGATGAGAACTTACACACCGAGCTGTTATTTCTGGAAAATGATGACGTGGAAATTACAGACTCAGCCCAGAAGAAGCACTCTCAAATTCTCTCTTTATGTAAGGAAATGGAGCTTACAACAGCTATTATAGAGGAGAGGCAGAGGATACCGGTTCGAAATATGCTCCCAGTTTGCTAGAGCAACACGGCATTGATAGAAGACTAGAGGAACAGAACATATCTCGGTCACCAATCACAGAGTCATCAATCAGGGGACAACATGCAAGGACTAAAACAACATTGGTTGAACACAATGGGAGCAACAGTCATCTCTTTTGGAAGGATTAGCCGTGACCTTGCCCCCTCGTGTTGCTTCTCAAGAGTCATTGCCCTCTTCCCACAACCTTTCAGGTAATATTGTCAATTCGTTTTCTGGTACTGATGTGGGTTTTGTGCCTGGAACAGGTACTTTTGCAGCTCAACTTGAAGCAGCATCCATGGATGGAAAGTATTTAATTGGGGACAGGGAGGCAAAGAACAAGAGGAAGAGGTAAGGAAAAGAAAATTCCAGAAAGAGGAGTTAGATAAGATCTGGGATCAGATCTGTATGTATTTGGAGGAGTACTAGAAACAAGAGGAAGCGGTAGGAAAGTATGAGGCTCAAGAAGGTTTAGTAAAAACAGGGGTTCAAAGTAGCAAAAAAGTTGGGGATGAATCAATCTTGGGAAAGATGCAGAAGGAGGAATTAGAGAGGATTTGGGGACAGGTTTGTGCTCTCTTTGAGGAGTATAGGCAACAGAGGAATCTTTGGAGGAAAAACATAACAAAAGTAGTCTTAAGCAGATCTAGAACAATTAACAACCGAAGGAAGAAGAAAAGATCAGAAGTGGAAAGGTTGATATCAGATATAGAAGAAGATTTGGAATTTAGCGGAAGAAGAGAGAGAAGGAAAGCCTCCAAGTAGGGGCCTGATCTCAGAGGGGGATGCCAAATCTTTTAGAAGGTTAATTAAGAACCTCCTTAGAAGGGAAAGGCCAAATATAGTGATGCTACAGGAGACCAAATTAGCTGATATTGATAGAAGACCGAAAAGAAGCATCTGGAAATCTAGAGGAATAAGTTAGGTTTCAGCACCTTCTTGGGGGCTTCGGGAGGAATTGACACTTTTTGGAGAGAGGATTCAGTGGAGGTTTTGGAGGAGCTAATAGGTAATTTGGGGGGGATTTCAATGTAATTTGATTTACGAATGAATCAAATAATCCCCAACAAGTCATTACAACCAGTATACGGAGATTTAAAGATTTCATTAATAACTGTGAGTTGAAGGAACTCCCATTGTTGCAAGCTCCCTATACTTGGTCCAACTTCCGGGAGACACCAACATGCTCCAAATTAGATAACTGGGAAAACAAGTTGGCGGACTTGATAACAACAGATTTACCTAGAGTCACATCTGACCATTACCCCATTGGCTTAGGATAGGAGCCTTTTAGGCAAGGACCCTGACCCTTTAGGCTTGAGAACATGTGGTTGACTCACCCGGATTTCATGAAGAAGGTTGAGGAATGGAGGAGACAAGACCTAAGGGGGGGTGAAGTGGAAAGGGGTAATATTTCACAAAAAACTAAAACGATTGAGAGCACATGTGAAGGATTGGAATAGGGAGCATTTTGAGAGAATAGAAGAAATGAAATCCTCTCTGATGACCCAAATAGAGGAATTGGATGCGAAGGAATACCAAAGAGTCATAAACTCTCAGGATAGAGATCGAAGATGGAAACTGAAAAGAGAGTTGGATGAAGTCATTTTGAAAGAAGAAATTTCTTGGAGGCAAAAGTCTAGATGTAAGTGGCTCAATGAAGGAGATGGGAACACTAAATTTTTTCATGACCAAGCCAATGAAAGGAGAAGGAAAAACCTAGTGCCCAAACTAGAAATGGATGGACTACTCCTTGATTCCCAAAAGAGGATAGCCAATTGTTTTGTTGACCATTTCAAATCCATCTTGAGGAGGCCCCTAGGACCTAGTGTGGAGTTGGAAGGTGTGACATGGCAGAGACTTCCAGAAGAGAGTAGAAGTTGGCAGGAAAGGAATTTTGAGGAGGAAGAAATTAGAAAAGTTGTTTTCTCCATGAACAGATCTAAAGCACCAGGGCCGGATGGTTTTACAAGGGCTTTCTTTCAAGATTGTTGGGACATAGTCAAAGAATATTTGATTGAGGTCTTCAAGGAATTTGAGGATAATTCAGTGATTAGTCATGGAACTAATGCTACTTTTTTAGCCTTAATTCCCAAGAAGAAAGAGGTCAAACATCCAAAGGACTTTAGACCTATTAGTTTGGTGACTAGTGTATACAAGATTGTGGCTAAGGTCTTATCTTTTTTTTTATTATTATGAATGGGTAGTGTCTTAACTTTGAGGATCAAAAAGGTGCTTCCTTGTCTTATCAGCCAAGCCCAAGGAGCTTCTGTTCAGCGGAGACAAATAGTAGATCAGATTCTAATAGATGAATGTATAGAGGAGATGAGGAGATTGTATCATCAAGGTAATGTTTGTAAACTAGATCTTGAAAAGGCCTATGACCTAGTGGATTGGGGATTGTTATTACTCGTGCTAAGAATGTGTGGTTTTGGGGATAGATGGTGCAAATGGATAAACGATTGCCTTTCCTCTTGCCATTATTCGATCCTAGTCAATGGGGTAGTAAATGGTTTTTTCCCAACTAGTAGGGGTCTAAGACAAGGTGATCCCATGTCACCTTTTCTATTCACTTTAGTTGTCGATGCTTTTAGTAGACTCCTCTCAGAAGTGGATAGGGTTGGATCTTTAAGAGGGTGAAGAATAGGTAGAGATAGAGTTTCAGTAACCCATCTTCAATTTGCAGATGACATAATAATCTTTTGCGAAGGTTGTGATTTGATGGAGGTAAGGAATCTGAAGGATTTATTAATTCACTTTGAGAGGGCCTCAAATTTGAAGATAAATTTTGTGAAGAGTTGTGTTGTGGGAATTCATTTGAATAGAGAGGAGATGGAGTCTATAGTAGCCTCGTTAGAATGCACTTGGTCTTAGTGGCCTCTATCCTAGTTAGGACTTCCCTTAGGTGCAAATCCAGAGGAAAGTAGGTTCTGGAATCTGGTGGTGGAAAAATTTGAAAAAGATTGGCAGCTTAGAAGAGAAACTATATTTCCATGGGGATAGAGTTACTTTGATTAAAGCAACTTTAGCCAACTTGCCTTTATACTTCTTGTCAGTCTTTAGAATTCCTAAAAGGGAGGCAAAGAGGTTGGAAAAACTGAGGAGGGACTTCTTATGGGAACCTGGGGAAGAGAAAAAAGATCACTTGATTAGGTGGGAGTTGGTGAGTCGAAGCAAAAAAGAAGGCGACCTAGGCTTAGGGAATGTGGTGAGTAAGAACAAAGCTCTTTTAGGTAAGTGGCTTTGGAGGTGGCCCCTGGAGAGGGAGAGGTTGTGGCATGAAGTAGTGAAGAGTATCCATGGCTGTTCTGAATCAGGTTGGGACGCAGGGGTATCTCGAAGGGCTTTGCTCACAACACCTTGGAAGGCTATTTCTGGCATTCTCCCCAAATTCCTCAGATTTGTAGCGTATGATGCTTGTATGGAAACTCCATTCTTTTTTGAGAAGATATTTGGGTGAGCACTCAACCCCTAAAAGACCATTTCCCTTCTCTCTTTCCATCTCCCTCCTTAAAAAGAAACCTGTTAAAATAATTTAGTTGTTGATGTTAGGGTCTGTTTGGCTAGTTAAAGTGTTTTTTATTTCGTTTTTTTCTCTGTTATGTCTGTTATTGTACTCAGGGGCACAAGGGTCTTTTCCCTTGTTATTTCTGCTGCCCTATATATATTAAAATAAAGGTTGGCGCCGCCAGCACTGTTACATTGCAAAACCCTTCTCTCTTCTCTCTTCTCTTCTCTTCTCTTCTCTTCTCTTCCTCTTATTTCTGGCCGGCCATACTGTCAAGATGGTATCAGAGCGCGAATACTGATTAAAGAGAGCAGATCGAACAACCTTACTGAGAGAACAGATCGAACAGACTTGCTGAACCTGGGCAGAACAGAAATCCGATTCTAGACTGAAAAAAACAGCTCTACAACTGGTACAGTTCTCCCTGTTTTCTCTTCTTTACCCTCCTTGGTCATGGGCCCAGTGGCTGCCCTGGGCTGAGTACTGGTACAACACCACCTTTCAAGTGTTAGCCGGCACCACCCCTTTTAAGATGCTATACGGTTACGATCCCCCCTCCATACTGCCTTATGAGTGGGGCACATCACCAGTAGCCGAGGTGGACACACAGCTACAGGCCAGAGATACTACGGTGAAGCTCTTCAAGTTCCATCTACAGCAGGCCCAGCAGTGCATGAAGTTGGCCTATGACAAGAATCACCGAGAATTGCAGTTCTCAGTAGGAGATTGGGTTTACCTACAACTCCAACCGTATCGGCAGAGCTCAGTGGCAAGGAGGATATCGCAGAAGCTATCCCCTCAATTCTTTGGCCCATATCGGGTCCGTAGCATACCGCCTCCGTTTACCAGCTGAATGCCAACTGCACCCGGTGTTCCATGTCAGCCTCCTCAAACCTTGTGTGTCTCCCACCGATACTACCAGTCCCACTCTCCCACCGTTCACCGAGTCAAGGGAGGTGATATTTGAGCCCACGAAGATTCGGGACTTACGCTGGGTTCGCAGGGGAAGGAAGGTGATCAAACAGGCACTGGTGGAGCGGCATGGGTTGCCTCAGGAAGATGTCACGTGGGAAGATTACACTCAGCTTTAGAAGTTGTTCCCTACCCTTGACCTTGATGACAAGGTCGTTCTTGAAGACGGCGGGATTGTTAGGTCCAGTGAGACGGAGAGCCCCGAGCCCAGTAAAAAGGTTCCAGGCGAGGCTTTCCAGGCCCATCAGGCCCAACCGAGAACCCAGAACCTCATGAAAGTCACTCCCCCACTTACCTATGTGTACACGCGTCGCCCGCGCATAGAACAGAAGCAGGCACGCTCAGAGTTTGTTAGAAGATATCATGAGTTGTACGGCCATGCATTATAAAGGCCAATCACGTATTTGCTAAGGCATTAATGAAAGTAGCCATTATTCTCTCTCTCTCTCTCTCCCTCCTTCCTCCCGTCTTCTACCTTCGTCTGTTTCAGGAGGGCGAGCTCCCTCGAATCAGCTCACCAACAAACCAGTAGGAGAAGGGGCCTAACATCTTCCAACCCAATTAATTTGAATCATCATATCTTTTGAAAGCCATTTGAAGTGTCTGAAATCATTCCTAAGGTGCCAAATCACCCTCTCCCCCTTTTTCAGCCAACCCACAATTGTTCTCAAGTCACCTTCAATAATCAGTTTTCCAACACCCAATTCTTTGGCTTTCTCAACCCCAAAAACTGCTGCCAAGAATTCTGATCTAACCCCTGGTTAGTAGGCAGCAAAAATAAGAAATACCCAAGAAACCTAGGCCCATTAAGTCCAATAAGAAAGACACAAAGATAATTAACATAACATAAACATAAGAAGGCCCAAGCCCATGATGTTAGGCTACACAACACATAACAAGTGGATCTGCAGACTTATCCTGTCATAAAGATTGAGAAAGGTCATTCACTGTACTCAAGATTCTATTTGGTAGGTGTTTGTCAATATTCCTTGCTGTAGATAATTTGAACCAAGCACCTTCTTTGTATAGCTAATCTCAATGGTATCAGCTGGGACAATTGCAGACTCCTTAGACTCTGACATGTATACAGACCCACTGTACATGACATTTGTACTTGTTTGTTGATATTTTATTCTTTCTTTTTTGCTTGATAAATTACTTGTTTTTTGATGGTTGGAAGGTAATACAATATGTTAGCCATTCTTTAAAATAAAAGAAAGAGAGAGAAAGATGATTACCATAAGACATTATACGGCCCATATAAGCTAGACTGTTATTAGAATATCTAGGCTGCAGCAATAGGCTTATTGCAGGTGTGTATACTTTTATGAACATCAGTATATGTGCCCGCTACATTAACAATATTTTAACGGAAATTGCATGTGATGGCTCATGGCTTTAAGATACATGAAAATGATAGCATAATTTGCAAATAATAAACTGATAGATAAGAAGAAATAATAATGAGCAAAATAAGTTCTTACACACACTAGGCAAACAGAATAATTTGCAAATAATAAACTGATAGATAAGAAGAAACAATAACAAGCATAATAAGTTCTTACAAATACTAGGCAAGCAGACATAAAAACTGCACTTATAAGATACAAAAAAATGCCAACCTGGTGGATACCACTTTCATGAGAAAATGCATTAGCACCAACAATAGCCTTGTGTGGCTGAACGGGAAGTCCACTATACTCTGTCACCTAGAAGAATGAATTATAAATTAAGGAACTTTGTTTGAGGAATTATAAATTAATTAACAAATTATGGGATAATAAAAGGCAAACCATAGCAGAAATTGTAAAAGAGAACCACAAGAAATACCATCTTGCTTGTCATAAATATGTGCTTAGTGTTTATTCCAGTGTAAAGACCTCCCATTATCGCCTTACCACGGGTTTTTATGGCCATCACAACCTACATCAAAAAATAACAATAAGTGACCAAAACAAATCTTTACTAACAAAAGCTCTGACTCATAAGCTCAACCAAAAGGAATACTGGCACTCACTTGTATGTTTTGAGTAGGGATACAAACGGATCGGATCGAATTCGAATCAGGGTATATTCGAAATCGATCCGACACTATTCATGTCAGATCCAATCCTATCGGATCTGATAGGAGTCGATTTGAATTTGAATCCTATCAGTAAGTTGGATCTTCGGATCTGATCCAATTCGACTTGTTTTCTTTAAAAATTAATAAATTATTAAAAGAAAAATAAAATATACTAATTTAAATAAAGTAAAAACAAAAAATACAAGTATTTTTTAATTATTTTCATCATATGTATACATGTTTTTTATAAAAAATAAATAAATAATAAAACAAATTTATAAAAATATCTTTGTAAATAAATAAATAACATATATATGCATTATAGATATATATATTTATAAATAATATGTAATATATACCGAATTGGATCTTCTTAGATCGGATAGGGCGATCCGAATCCAATCCAATCCAATCCGAAGATCCAAATAAGGGTGATCCGAATTCGACCAAATAGGATCGGATCAGATCATGATCCAACCCATTTGCACCCCTAGTTTTGAGTTTGTATGTAGCTCGAGGACACTGGTAGTGAAAAACTTAACATCCATTAACATTAACATGTTATGTAAGTTAATATTGATCAATAAATGTAGAAATGAACTTGAAAGAATGGTAGGATCCATCTAATGGACGCCATGAAGGTTGCGGAATGGGTGGGCGAATTTCAAAAAATTTTCTTACCTTCTTCCAATTGGGAATCATATTCCCTAATTTAAGAATACAATATTCAATGATCTTACTTGAACCATAATCGAACCAGATCTGAACCAAAAGGGATGGGAGGAATTATACCTGATCCAGAGATGCAGTATTTCCCAAAGTTGGTGTTCACGCCCAAAGAGGATACCAAGATCCACTCCTACTGAAGATGACACAATTGTATGTGGAATGGAACCAGCAGGGTGCGTCCTACACACTGAATCCTTCACAAGAATCCACTGAAAACTCTGACCACCAAATATTTTCAGTCTTTTCTGCAAAACTGATGTCAAGAACCAATTTCTTGATTTCTTTCTTCTTCAAAGATCGAATCTTGTAAGAAAGAATGGCGGCAGCTGGAGGAGAACTCCTGGGACGAAGATGGCTGAATTGCCTCTCTTCTCTCTTAAATGTGTATGAGATCTAATCTCAATTTGCAGGATGATTTCTTGCACACAACCCTAGGTTCGAAATCTAAATGATTTCTCTTAGGGTTTCTCCTCCTTTCTTCTTGATTAAGAAACCTACTAATTAGGAGTTATCCCAATCCAAATCAGTATTTGGATAGGGGATGATCTTAATCCTATCTACAGATTAGGWTAGCTYACTCCTGATCTTATCAGGAGGYTACCAGATTCAAATCTAATTTGAATTTGGTCTCCTAGAGTGGATAAGGTTAAAGGCCCAATCCTTTTGCTAACTTCAATCCTAGATTCGCCCCATAAATGGGT